AAACTCGGAACTGCTTTACCCTGACTAGCAGTAGAACTATTCGAGGTTCCACCAATACCACATTTCACAGTATTAAAAGTTTGAAACGAGAGGGATCCAGTTATTTCTGTACCATTAACAGATATTTTTGATTTATCTTGTTTCCCACCGTGTTCTCGGAGAGAAAAATCTATAGTAGTATCTACAGGAGTCTGAGCTATATCAAAAGTAGTACGAGATATATATTGAGGTCTACGTGGTTCAATGATTTTCATTTCAATTCCATCATCATCTTCTGTATCTAAAGAGTGAGGTCTCTGAACCCCACTTATTGTAGATCCCACATTTCTTTCGCTAATAGTACCCACCTAAATCAACGAAAAAAAAAAATTTAAGACTATACATTCTAATTTAGATGTAAGATAAGATATTTAGACTTTACCTCAGCATCACCTAAGTCGATCACCATGTAATCTGACTTATATTCTGGTGGTGGATTATCTGATTCAAGCATTTCATTTGTCCCCTGTTTTCCTTTATTGCCTCTCTTCTCACGTGCGTCAAGCTCAGATTCACACAAATCTTTCTTTGTATCCTTTTTATCTTTTTCTTTTTCTTCCTTCTTTGTACTTGTATATGATGGTTTGTCTAGGGATTTGGATTTTTCCTTATTGGTCCAGTCATATACTGTCTTTTCCTCGCAGAAGCCCTTCTTTACAATCCAACAAAGCAATCATAAATTTGAAAATGAAGATTATATATTTTAATGTATAATGTGTTATGCTATACATAAAAGAAATATACACAACTTAATTGAATTATATCTTTCAAACTATCGAAAATGTATAAGGATATAATCATACTCAGACTTCTAATTCATAAAATGTAAAATATCTTAAATTATCAATAGAAGGCACCATGATGGAATTTTTGTTTTATGCATTAGTATGAAAACACAAGACAACTAAAAGAAGTAAGTCCTGCATATCCATTTGAGAATTATTTTATCAAAATAATATTTTATACTAATTTAAAAAAAAATAAAAAATGTTTAAATCTACTTTACAAATTTAAAATGAAATTTCCTAAAATCCATACCTTTTTATCGAATAGTAAGTCTAAATTAGCCAATGAAGCCAAACTGTGTGATGCATTTACATTTGAAGGTAACGAACCACCTTCTCTTTGCCTAGCAGATACACTGGAGCCTGTATATTTTTTATTTTTCCTTCTACTTCCTCCGTAAGTATGGCTAGAACCAGATGTCAAGTAAGCAAAACTACTATCAAATTCTGAAGCAATAGGTTGAGCCAAATTCTGTAATGATCCTCCGTGTGTAAGCCTTTCAGATACAGAATCTCGTTTATGCCTTCTACGATTTGACCCAGGTAAACACCGTGAATTTGTTATTATCCTACGACCTTCTTCAGTCTCGTCAGCTTCCGCTTCTTGCAGTAATTCCTAAAAATGTGATTGTTAATTTATTTTTGTGATAAATCAAAATATTCAAAAGTAGAGTGAATATTCTTACTTTAAAAAGACTTGATTTTCCTTCACGATCTTTGGGACACTTATAAGTTATAGCTTCATCTAATAGAGCACGCAATTCACCTTCGTTTAATGTGGATAAAGTAGCTGGTTCTTCCTGAAACTTAAAATAAATAATAAAATTATTAATGTTTGCTAAATACTAAAAGCTAATGGTAATATATATATATATAGTTATATTATGATAATATTCATCATATATTCAGATTATTTTACATAAAAGAAAATAAAGGTTTGACTTGCATAATAAACTGGTAAATAATATATTAAACATAGTCAAATTTTATCCATTAAAACTATATTTGAACAGAATAAGTCAGTGTTCTCATTGAATGAAAAGTATTATATAAGTGTACGATGAATTGACAATATTATATATCTCTATTAAATGAATGCATGATATACACAAAAAGAAATATTTCATGAAAATATAAATGTAGAGAATACAGATTATATTGAAAAATTTAGTATTAATATTTATTAATTTAATACCATGTGATATGTTTGTGAACATTTTGTTTGTAACCTATACAGAGTGGGAGAACTTGTTTTGCAATCTAGATTCAAATATGGAAAGTATGCCAAGAGACTAATCCAAACTTTAAGAGTAAACCATATACGGAAATACATTCAAAGACATACAGAAAAAAAGAAACTTAATAATAAAACATGTACTTTCATTTTTCAAATTTTTCTTTGAATAAATATCACCTATATATTACAATACTTTTTTATATTGATTGAAATATGTTAAGAATCATATAAATGTAGTCCTTTAATAAATTTTTTAAGAATTCATTTTTTATATTATAAATTTTACATGAAGATTATGAACTTTTTAGATTTTATCATTATAACAAATAAGAAATAATATTTATTCATTAATATATAATACAAAGTAAATTTCATTTTATAGTGTTTCAATATTATTAATTATATTCTACACCATAGTATAAACTAGTACACTAAGCAGATAAGCATGGATATAGATAGATTCAGAGAGAGAATTTAAGGTTTCACTTATTGGATTTTGTGAAGAAATATAGATACCACATAGAAAAAGAATGTATTAGTATGAATGATGTACACTTTGTCATGATTAATACTTTGTACATATATAAATACATACATGGTATCTTTAAGATATTAATTTGCATTTGTATAAATATAATTAACTATGAGATATATATTTATCTGTAATAAACATGTGTATACGTCCAGTTTCATTAATATTCATATTAAACTGATGTATTGTAATAATATAATATTACTTTATTAGAACACATATATATATATATAGCTGTTTATATAACAGTAAAAATTATTGGTTTATAAGTACTAACTCGTCTACTTACAAAATGCAGCATAAATGCAGTTATGAGAGATACATTTTTTCTTCACAGGTTATAAACAAAGCAGAAAATATTGTAAGAAATCATATAGGATGTGTCATTTATTTTTGGGTAATTTGACTAATTCTGTGTCACATTAACCCGATTAGCTTCATTCAAAGCAAAATATCTTATCAGAATGGCTATCCATGTACAAAAATGGAAAAAAAAAGGGGAAAAAAATTGATGATCATACATTTTTTTCTTCTTCACTTAAAACAGTACACAAACGTCACCAGAAAAAGCATTTACGAACGAACTTTATTGAGAGCTACGTATGAAAGCGATTACGATTGCTCTCAGAATATGCCGTTTTTATAGAGATAACAAACCTTTCCGAACTTATTGACCGTGAATTGTCGTACATATAAACGAAGCACTATACGTTTTCGTAGATAGGTTAACGATAAACTGTTATCATTCTTTGAAAAAAAAAAATTAAAGAAAGAAGGGAAAAAGAATTATCATTCGTTTCGTAGTGTTGAGTAACATGCTTCGAAAGGAAAAAAATACTTGGTTTCGTACGAACAATACAAACCAATCATCTTTGAAGATTCGGAATGCACAGTTAATGAATACTCGTAAGTCCTTGGAAATGCGAAAAGGATAGCCAATACGGAGTTTACCTTTGCTTGTAAATTAAAATAGGACACACACCAGGAATGAATTTGGGCTTGTCCAGAGATCGATAGGGGGTCGCGATTAGCTAATTGAGACACGAGGAGATACCGGGGTGACTTACGGACGAAGGAAAAATCTGCTGGGCAGTGCCGGCACGGAATTTATATTTTTAGAGGGCACCTGGGTCGGCTGCAGTCGTCTCTGCTTCGTCGAACTGCAGTCCTGCAGTATAGCACCGTTACGTAGAGATTTTGCGCATTTGAGTACACGATAAACGTAGCCGACAATATACTATCACTGTTCAGAAGAAATAATATCGGCAGTGTCAAGAATATGCCGCCGATTTAAATGCTATTATGACGAGCGGGTGCGGCGCGCTCTTCTCAGCATGGCCGCCGCCATTACATTGAGAGCACGGCCATTCCAGGATCGTAATAAGCAGGGGCCTCTCGATAGCCCCATTCATTATCCTTTGTCAATCTATGCTAGATGATAGAAGTATTTGAACTTTAACAGCTACAACGTGGAATA